GCGCACCGCCGGCAGCAGCGGACCTGTCCGAGGCGGGCGTCGCGGCGGCGCTCGTCGAGCAGCTTCGCACGCTGGTCGCCGCGGCGGCGCATGGGGCCGCTGCGGAGGCTCATGCCGCTGGTGCGGCGGGGGCCCAGGGAGGCGCCGCCGCCTCCATGCCTGCCGCCGCCGCCGGCATCGCTGGCACCCCAGGCGCCGCTGCCCCCGCAGGTCCTGGTGCTACGCCGCCGCTGGGAGGCGACGGCGCAGGCGCTGCGGGCGCGACAGCTCCGAGCGCTGCGCCGCCAGGGAGAGCAGCCGGCGGCTTTGCGCAGCGCGGGGGCGCGCCCCGATCGCGGCGCGAGGTGGCAAGCGCCCACCACGCTGCGGAGGCCAGGCGGCAGGTCACGCTCCGCTATGCGTGGACCGCCAGCGGCCTGCCTCCACGCCGCCCTCCCCAAGCAGGCGGGGCCGCTCACGGAGCGCCGAGCGGGGCGGGGCGGCCGGCGCTTGAGCGCCACTCGCAACGCCGTTCAACGCTGCTGCTGCTGCTGCTGGAGTCGCTGGAAGCGGCCTGTGGGTTTCGCTGGGGGCCGCTGACCGCGCTGCTGCTGCTGGGGGCGTCGCCGTGGGCGGCCTGGAGGGCTCGCCCGCCTCCTTCGCGGGGGCCGCCTGCGACGGTGCTGCGGGGGTCGCTGGAGGCGGCCCCGCTGGGAGCGCCGCCCGGTGGGAAGACGGCCCAGGGGCTCCATCTTCCCACCCACCCCCGGGGGCCGCTGGCCGCGCTGCTGCTGCTGCTGCTGCTGCTGCTGCTGCTGCTGCTGCTGGGGGCGCCGCTGGGGGCGGCCCGTGGAACAGTGCCACGGCTCGATGGCGGGGCTGGCCGTGGCGCGGCATCCGCGTGTGCGAAGCTCCGCACCCTGGGCCGAGCACGCGCGTTCTCGTGGCTAACGCCACGAGCTGGCGCGCCAGTTGGCGCGGGCTGCTGGCGGCCGGGGCAGACGTGTATTGTATCCAGGAGGCGCGCGTGCCCGAGGACGAGGGCTCGGCTGCCGCCGCGGCTGCAGAAGCTCGGCGCCGCGGACTCCGCCTGCAGCTTGGGGTCGCTGGCGAAGGCGCCCATCTGCTGGCGTTCGCGCACAGGGAAGGCCTGCATGGCCTCCGCGCCGCGCAGATGAACGGCCTGACTCCAGAGCAGGCGCGCCGGCTGCAGTACGCGGTTCTTCACCTTGGAGGCCGCCGGGCATTGCACATCGTGCAGGTCTATGGCCATGCTGATGGCGCTGCCGCGGTGAACGACAACGAGGCAATCCTGCTAGCAGCGTTGTCGTGGCTCCGCTCGCTGGGCGACGTGCTGGCGTTGCTGGTGGGGGACTTCAACCTTACGCTTCACGGGACCAGCGTGGAGCCCCTCCTTGCCATGGCCGGCTGGCAGGACGTCCTCGCGCCGGCTGGGCCCACCTGCTTGCCTAGCTCGGGTGCCCCATCCAGGAACGATTACGTGCTCGCCAATGGAGCGGCGATGGAGCACATTGTGTCTGCGGGGCTGCGCTGGGACCTGGGGCTCGCGACGCACGCAGCGCTCAAGGTGGAGCTGGCCGTCGAGGCGCCAGAGCACGCAGCCATGAGGAGGCGGCCTCTTACGCTTGCCGGGCCTGCTGCGGAGGGGTGGCCTAGCGCCCGCCAGGCCGTCACCGACGAGTTGCTGCAGGAGCACGAGGCGGCATTTCGCGCAGGCCTCCGCCACGACCGCATCGCTGACTCTTGGGTCGCGCTGGAGGCTGCTATGCGCCAGTGGCTGAGCCGGCGCATGGGCCACCTCCAGCCGCGGGAGCGGCGGTACGCCTGCGCAAGGTGGCAGGCGAATCGCTCCTGGGCCACAGGTGCTGGTGGAGAGGCGTGCGACAAAGCTGCCGATGCTGCGTTGCTCCGGCTCCGGCGGCTGCACAGCTGCAGGCGCGGCATCAGCGCCATGTCGACTCGAGCGGCTCCAGCAGTATCCACACGCGCCCACGATCTGCGTGACGATGCCCGTCGCGACGAGCCCGAGGGTGTGCGCGGAGAAGGACCCCGCGTCCGAGCCCTGCCGAGCCTGCTGCGAGCGGACCTCGCGGAGCTCCGATGACAGCAGCGCCAGCTCCGCGTGGAGCCGCGCGAGGTCGTCCAGGCAGCCCGACGAGCCGCGGGCGCAGACCGCCGCCCGCTCCGCCTGGCGCGCCTCCGCCGCGGCCTGCAGTGCCGCCGAGGGCGGTTCACCAGGGGGGCCCCCGCCGCCGCCGCCGCGCACGAGGCCAGGCCACCAGGCGTACAGCGCACACCGGGCACTCGCGAGGAGCCACGCGGGAGCCTGCGGGAGCGGGCGGCGCACAGAAACACAGGTGCTCCCTGGAGACGAAAGGCTTGAGCGAAATAGAACGGACTCTGTGCATCACCCCCTACACGTCCGCAGGGAAAGTCTCATCAACATCTGCAGTATCATCATCATCATCATCATCATCATCATCATCATCATCATCATCATCATCATCATCATCATCAGCAGCATCATCATCATCATCATCAGCAGCAGCAGCAGCATCACCACCACCACCACCATCATCATCATCATCATCATCATCCTCATCATCATCATCATATTCATCATCATCATCATCATATTCAGCATCATCATCATCATCATCATCATCACCATCATCATCATCATCATCATCATCATCAGCAGCAGCAGCAGCATCATCACCATTATCATCATACTCCTACTCATACTCCTCATCTTCATCATCATCATCATCCGCATCCACATCCTCATCCGCAACACAGCAATCAGGAAAGATATAAAAATAGTCATCATCCTCATGATCATCATCGTCATCAGCATCGGCATCGTCATCGTCATCATAAACGCCACCACCACCATCATCATAATCAGCATCAGCATCACCATCATCACCATCATCGTCATCATCACCATGATCGGCGTCATCATCAGTATGATCATCATCATCAGCATCATCATCCTCATCCTCATCATCGTCAGCCATCATCATAATCCTCATCCTCATAATCACAACCGCCATCATCAGCATCATCCTCAATATCCTCATCATCGTCACCATCCTCATCCTCATCCTCATGGTCGTCGTCGTCAGCAGCAGCAGCAGCATCATCATCAGCGAAAGCATCACAATCACTACCATCACCAACACCATCATCATCACAACAACGCCAAACATCAGCATCATCAGTAGAATCAGCATCAGCATCACCATCGTCATCGCCATCATCACCATCATGATCAGCAGAATCAGACTCGTCATCTTCATCGTCATCAGCATCGCCATCATACTAGCCAGCACAGACTCCAGATAGATCCGAACAGTGACATGAAGTGGGCTGAAATGGACTGAAGTAGACTGGACTGGACTGGGGTCGACTCTTCTCCACTCTACTTCACTCCACTCTATAATATCCGACTCTACTCGACCACCTACCCTACTCTACCCTACCCTAACTTACCCTGACCTACGCTATGCTGGTCTACTGCTATTCGACCCTACTCAAATATCATCTCCTCTACTCTACTCTCCTCTATAATCTCTACTCTGATCCGACACCGTGCCTCTGGGCACGGAGTGGGCGTGTCCTCAGGTCATTTGCCTAATCCCCTGGAGCCTCAATCCTCAGTTCTGAAGGGTCTGTAAGGGGCCCAGAGCTCAAATTCTCAAACCTCCCAGGGCTTGCCGCGGTTCCACTGGGCTCCAGGAAGTGTTCTCGCACGACTTGTTCGGGCCCAAGATGGCCCGAAGAAGGACCACGAGGACCCCACAGAGGCCCCCAAGACGGTCCAAGAGGGCCCCGATTCGCCGAAATATCGCCCCAAAACGCCCAAGGTGGCCTCAAGATGGCCCAAGAGGCCTCCAAGACGCCCCAAGGCGCCCCCAAGAGGCCTCACAAGAAGGTGTTTGAAGGATTTGGGCGTTCTCACCTTATCGGCTTTCCGACGCTCCAAGACGGCCCAAGAGGCGCCCCAAGACGGCCCAAGAGGCCCAAGACGGCCTGAAAGGGCGCCCGAAAGAAGGAACACGAACCGCAAATCCGAGCCTTCCGCCCGAAGAGGCTCCCAGGAGGTCCCAAGAGGCACCCAGAAGGCCCTGAGGGGCCCCCGAGAGGCCCTCAAGAGGCCCCGAGAGGCCCCTAGGCGGCCCAAAAGAGGTCCCTAAGAGGCCCCGAAACGGCCCCCCAGATGCCTCTAAACTACAGCCAAGAGGCCCCCGAGAGGCCTCCCACGAGATCCCAACGAACACCCAATAGGCTTCATACCCACGACCCAAGCACTGGCGGGATGAGCCGAAGGCCATTAAATATACTCTACTCTACGCTGCTCTACTCTACTCTATGCTACCCGACTCTGCTCTTCTCAGCCATATACCCCAATATACTCGACTCTGCTCTACTCTACCCTACTCTACTCGACCCTAAACTACGAAACTCCTACTCGACTTTGCTCTGCTCTACTCTACTCTACCTCTGAGCTTGACGATTGTTAGACGTTTGTTGGGACGCCATGGGAATAGCCACAGGAAGCCGGTGGCATAGCAGAGGAAGCCGTGGGGATACAGAGGAAGCCATGCGGGTAGCAGAGGAAGCCGTGCGGATGCCCAGGAAGTCGTGCGGATTGTTTCGGTGGTTGTTGGACGACTGTTGGGACGCCATTGGAATAGCCACAGGAAGCCGTTGCAGTAGCAGAGAAAGCTATGTGGATACAGAGGAAGCCATGTGGATAGTAGAGGAAACCATGCGGATACCGCGGAGCCCATTCGGATACCAGAGGGAGCCAGCCATGCGGATAGCTTGACGATCTCGAGAGAAACATAAAAAAGGGGGTGTGTCAACGGGCCAATTCTCGACGTATTGGGCTGGGACTCCTGTAGACAGGCCGATTTGGAGAATCAACACAATCATCAGCATCATCTGGTCATCGCTGTCCACCCTCTTTAAGTCCACCCTTCGCCTTACTCCTTCTTCCCATCGTCACTCCCGACGGCTCCGCAACGAAGCGCGACACCGCCACGCGCTCAGTTCAGCAGGGCATAGCATGCCCCCTGCGAAACGCAAGCGTGGCCGTGTGCCGCAGTGAGCCGCTCCCCCCCACCCCCAAGGGACAAAGGAAAAGGGGAAGGGGAGGGAACGAAGAAGACAGAGGACGGCAGGGGGATACACAAGCGCGTTTCAAACCTCGCAGAGTAACTGCTCGCAAATGGCCTGGATCCACCGCGGGAAATTTACGGACCTCTACATCGAGACAAACATTCTGTTTGTGCCTGACGTTTGTGAGTAGGCACTCTGCGAGTAGTGGAACGCGCTCGGTGAAGTGAGGGAGGAGGGATAGTGACAGGGAGGTGGGAGGAATGGAACGGGAGATGAAACGGGAGGGATGTAAAGGGGAAGGGGGGAAGAGGAGCGGGAGGGGAAGAGAGAGGGGGTGAAGTATGAGAGGAGGTGACAGGGGAGGGGGAGCGGGAGGAGAGTGGACGAAACGGAAGGAGGGGGGGAGTGAAGGCAGCAAGGGTAGAGAGGAGGTGAGGAGGGAAGGGAAGGCAAGGGAGCGGATGAGAAAGAGGGAGGGGCATGGGCCCTACCATACACTCCCTCTCAATCCCCCACCTCACCTCAATGCCCATTCTTCCTATGCCCCCTCGCCATCTCCTCCTCCTCCCCTTCCCACACATCATCAGAATCCTCTTCTTCTTCTGCCCCCCGAGGCCTTTCGGCTTCAAATCGCCTCGGGGAGGCCTCAGAGAGGCACAAACAACTCCCAGGACGACCCGAAAACTGCCCCCCCCATGGAGCCCCCAGGTGGCCGCAATAATGCCCGAGAACCCTCCAAGATGGCCCAAGAAGGCTTCAACACGGCCTCTAGATAGAAGGAACGACATCGAATCTAAGACCCATCTGAGTTCAGACCGTGCTTGAGGGGCTTACGCTCACCCTCCTTCACGCTCTTCTGCTGCGCTGGCACAGCAGCGGGGTTTGCCGCAAGCAGCAGGATAGCTCAGGGGAGCCCAGAATCGAATCGATAGGTCGGATCGGCGATCGAAATGAATCGGATCGGCGGAAATCGGCAGCCGAGTCGGGAAAAGTCGAATCGGCGGAAATCGGCAGGCTAATAGGCCTCCGTTGAAAAATCGGAGCCCAAATCGGAATCCAAAGACGAATCGAATCTGAATCGGAAACCATCGAAACCGAATCGAATCGAATCGAATCGGAGGAACCAAAACACGCCCTGACAGCTCCAAAGCGACAGAGTTATGTGGGGCATTCGGAAGGTCTGGTTGTCCGCCCCCCTTTGCCTCCCTCCCCCCCCAATCCTCTCACTGCGGGATCTGCGCACTGAAGCGCCCTTTGCCTTCACTGTGCAGTCTCACCACGATCTGCGCCTGGCTCCTCCCTCCCGCCGCCCCGCCCAAACGAACCTCTGAGACATTCGCGGTCGCCTCATGGTGAAGCCGGCCATGCGCAGAGAGGGGGGTGCAACGGAGGCCAGTGCACAGGAAACCTTCCACCAGAAACCCAACCCTGAGACCCCAGGACGTCCATTGATGTTTAGTCTGGGAACGTCATGCTTCCCATAGCAAGACCATCGAAACCCAAGAAACGCAGGGCACCCTGGAGGCAAGCAGGGTATTTCTTGGCATGGGCCTCCACTGTTGGGGGAGGGGGGAAGGCTTGTTAGAAGCACCCTGCTTCTTAGAAGGCGCGGGCCTTGCCTGTAGATGTACAGCCGGCGCCTTCTAAGAAGCAGCCTCCTTCAAAGAAGCCTTCCCCGCTCCCCCTACCCCCTTGCCCGCGCCACCAAGTAAGCCTATCGCTCGCAGAAGGGCCCTTGTCCTGGCCCGGAGCAAACGCGCATGCCCGCCGGGCGAGCGCACAAGAAACCTGCTCAGGCTAAAAAAATGAGGTCGGGCTGATGGCCCGTCCGAGGCCCGGCCGAACCTGGCGGAAAGCGAGGGTACTTCACATCTTGCGCCTTGCCACGGGAGAAGGCCATCCTCCGACCCCCGCAGGAGGGTGCAAAGCCGCATGCGGCACACCAGACCCCTTCCCACTGCGCCCCTCCGCTTCCTCCTCCTGCTCCTCCTCCTGCTCCTCCTCCTCCTCCTCCTCCTTCTCCGCCTCCTTCTCCGCTTCCTCCTCCTTCTCCTCCCCCTCCGCTTCCTCCTCCTCCTCCTCCTCCTCCTTCTCTTCCTGCCCATCCCTGGTCCTCACAAATAACTCCTCCCCGTCGCACCCCGAGGTGTGTCGGCAGGGCGGGCTGGGCGTTTCGCCCAGGAGAACTCCTGACAACGTACGGTCCTTCGGCTGAGAATTCGCAACAGCTTCACGGATGGCATAGACGGGCCTCTTTCAAAATGTGGCTCTCGCCTCAGCGCAGCGCACATTCGTTTGAGAAGATTGCACACTTGCACGACTTTCACGGGCGGGGAGCGGTCGTTTTCCAAATGTGCCTCTCGCCTCAGCGCAGCGCACAGTCGTTCAAGAAGAGATTGCACACACTTGCACGATTTTCACGGGTGGAGGTCGTGTTCCAGATGTGGCTCTCGCCTCAGCGCAGCGCACAGGTCGTCCCAAAACATTGAAAGAGTTCCCGGATCGAGCGCAGGTGGCTTTCAGATTGTGGCTCTCGCCTTAGCGCCGCGCACATTGGTCCACAAAAACTGAAAGATCGTCACGGCTGGAGGGCGGGTGGCTTTCAAAATGTGGCTCTCGCCTCAGCGCCGCGCGCATTCGTCCCAAAGTTTGCAAATGGAAGGCGGTACCATTTCAAGATGTGGCTCTCGCCTCCGCGCCGCTCACATTCGTCTTGAGACTCTACAACCGTTTCAAGGATGAGTATGGGTGATGTCCCAGAAATTCTCTTGCGCGATATAAGACTATCAGGGCGCAACAGTTACGCTGATTCGCGCTGCCGAAATCCCAAGAATGGTGCTCTGGTACGATTCAGGATCGTCAGGACGCAACAGTTACGTGAATGCGCCTCGCTGAAGTCCCAGGAATAGTGTTCTGGCACGGCTCAGGGTTTTGATACGGTTGTCTTCAAACGTGAAGCCTCCCTCAGTGGCATGTAATCCTTGTAGAGACCCATGGCGAGAGAATATCGTTGGTGCCTCTTCGGTTTACACCTGTCCTCCCCATCCTCCTCCTCCTCCTCCTCCTCCTCCATCTGCTCCTCCTCCTACTCCTCATCTTCCTACCCATCATCCATCATGCACCTTACCTTCATCCTTCGATCAATATTATTATCCTCCCCCTCTTCCTCCTCATCCTCCTCCTCCACCTTTTTCTGTTCCTCCTCCCTTCTCTTCCTCCTCCTCCACCTCCTCCTCCTCCTCCTCCTCCCTCCTCCTCCTCCTCCTCCCCCTCCTCCTCCTGGTCCTCCTCCTCCTCCTCCTCTCCTCCTCCTCCTCCTCCTCTCCTCCTCCTCCTCCTCCTCCCTCCTCCTCCTCCTCCTCCTCCTGCTCCTCCTGGTCCTCCTCCTCCTCCTCCTCCTCCTCCTCCTCCTCCTCCTCCTCCTCCTCCTCATCATCATCATCATCATCATCATCATTATCACCATTATCAGCACCATCATCCGCATCATCATCACCGGCGTGGTCACAATCATCACCATCGGCATGATCAGCCTCAGCAGCATCACCATGATCAGCATCACCACCACCATCACCACCACCATCAGCATCATCATTATCATCAGCATCACCCTCATCATCAGCAGCATCATCATCGTCGTCAACAGGGTCGTCATCATCAGCATAATCACCATAATCATCAGCGTTCGCAGCATCATCAGCATCAGCATCATCAGCATCAACATCAGCAGCAGCTTTACCGTCATCGTCATCGTCATCACCATCACCATCATCATCAACACCAGCATCTACATCATCAACACCAGCATAACCATCTCCATCACCAACATCGTCATCATCATCTCCATCATCATAATCATCATCAGCAGCATCAGCATCATCATCAGCAACATCATCATCCGCATCAGCATCCTCATCGTCACCGTCATCGTCATCGGCATCGCATCAGCATCATCATCAGCATCATCATCATCATCATCAGCATCAGCATCATCATTAGCAGCAGCAGCAGCATCAGCACCAGCATCATCCGCGTCAGCAACATCAGCAGCAGCATCGCCAGCATCACCATCAGCATCAGCAGCAGCATCACCGTCACCAGCAGCACCATCAGCATCATCATCAGCCGCATCAACATCCTCACTCTCAGCCTTGTCATCACCGTCAGAATCCCGAAAATCAGCATCAGCATATTCAGCAGCATCAGCATCATCGGCATCCGCGTCGTCATCAGGGTCACCGCATCAGCATCAGCATCAGCATCATTAGCAGCAGTATCATCATCATCGTCATCATCGTCAGCAACATCATCAGCATCATCATCAACAGCATCATCAGCATCGCCACCCTCAGCGTCATGATCAGCATCAACCTGATCGTCAGCAGCAACATCATCCGCATCATTAGCATCGTCATCCTGCTCGTCCTTCTCATTGTCATCGTCCCTCCTTCCCTTCATCCCTCCATCCCTCCATCCCCCTCCCCTTCGCCGACATGGGCTTGTGGCAGGTGCGCTGCTAGTGCCAACTGAGCATCGCGGATCCGTTGCCAGTGCGGGAATGAAGCCCCCATGCGGATCAGGAAGCAGGCCTGGGAAAAGGCACAACAGCATCCAGAGTGGCCACGCCAGTAGCGGCGGTTCCATGTCCAAGAAACAACAGAATGAGACCACGAAGAAGCTTGCCGAGCTGGAGAAGATGCTGCGCTCGCACATCAGTGCGGTACCGAATCCGAGTGCAGCAACTGGGGCCACGTCAAGTTCAGGGAAGGCGCCGACGCCAACACCCTGGGCGACAGCTCCCCCAACTCCTCCTGCTTCGGCCCAGCCGATTGCGGAAACGGGCGATGACAAGATCAAGCGCGAGGAGTTGGCGGCCCAGCTCAGTATGTTTGAGAACGTTCTTACGACGTTGCCAGGTACGGGGGATGACCCAATACGCCTGGCCACTGTGCCGAAGATCAAGGAAATGCGTGGCCAACAGAAAGCATTACGTACACCCGATATTGCCTACCGCAGGTCGGTGCAGGATCTGCACAAGGCCAAGCTGCAGAAGGACAAGCTGCAGAAGGAGATTGACACGAAGACGGCCCAGCTCACGGCGCTTCAGGAGTCCCTTGAGGCCAAGAAAGTGCAGCTGCAGGCCAAACTCGTGGAGATCACAGCGTTGGAAGCAGAACACAAGCGTGCCGCTACCGCCATTGCTGAGAGCAAAGACACTGACCCTGCTGAGACGATCCATGGGTTCGCTACTACCGCGGGCGAGGCCAATGATGACGAGGCCAAAAAAATCTGTCGTCCGCCCAGTGGACCTCCATCCGCACGGCGATCCTGGAGAAGCTCAAGGCCAACAACTTCAAGAATGATAAGGCAACTGCTGCAAGTGGTGACGCTCGGCAACCTGATGTTCCAATGCCTGAGACTCCTGATCCTGCCAAGCGTTCCTTTGATGAGCTCAGTGAAGATGAACAGCGTCGACTGTTCGAGCCCAGCAAAGGAGATGAGTTCAGCAAGTTTGCAGGCTGTCTGCGAAAGATGGCCAAGAAACAACGTACATCCTGACGAGAATCACTGTGTGCACGAAACAGGTGGGCACCGATCTGATTGTGTTCCTGTACGAATCACTGGACTAAGGCCAGGCCCTTGCAGTCGTCCACAGCGTACAGAACCCACCATTAACGGTTTGTACACGTTCGAGTCATTCAATGGGAATGGTGGCAAGGACACCATCCAAAGTATGATATATCGGTCTCTGGCGCATGTGTTATTGTGCTCGGTGCGGGGATGGAAAATGATGGCATTACCTGCGCGCGCCGGTCGTGGGCACGCAGTATCAGCAGGTGTAGCAGTGCTTGCTCGAAGTGATCTAGGCCTCCGTGCACCGCCAGACAATCCCACACAGATTGTGCCTCGGCGTTGTCAGCATGTTGTAGTTGATATGCCTGGCTGACCTGCCATCCATGTGATGAATGTTTACCTCAAGGACTCCCTGTGACCAAGAGGCATCAACAGCGAGATACTATCGAAGATGGGAACGGTGTTCAATAGCGCGACGTCGCCCTGCGTTGCAGGTGCTGACTGGAACATGCAGAGTGCAGAGCTTGAGGCGTATGGTGCCCCTCGGCTGGCGAATATAACCCTTGCAGTTCCTAAGCAGATCACCCTCAGAGCTGGCACAGGGTCAACAACGATATATTACTTTGCGATGAATGACCAAATGCTTCGTGGTTTCCGCGGGGTCAAAGCCGATATGCGATGGAATCGACGCCCTCACCGACATGTGATCACGCAGCTAGTGGACAATGGTAGGACGATCAAGCATTTCATTTACACGGTCACGCCGTCGCTTCCAGTCGAGAAGATCATTGGGCCAATGCGGGCTGAGGCAGGTTGGCAAACACATGGCACGCTGGCTCAAGCATGCGTTGACATGGCAAGTGACGACTCCAGTGATGTGGCGGTGGTATGGACCCTACTGTCGCGAGTTCGGGCACGTTTCGCAGTCACGGCCGCTCAAGAGGTTGCTCATGCAACGGGATACGACCTTCCTGAGGCTGGTGCTTACGGGAGGACACTTCATCCACGATGGGTTGACGTGGAGTACTCTGAGCAGCCGATCCCCATGTTGAAGACAGCTGCAGAAGGACGGCAATGGATGGCCCATAGCCTGTCTACGATTATGCAGCTGTATCGCGGTACGGACCACATGGAGGCATGCTCTGAGGAGATCACTACTTTTCTCACGATGCAGTACAGCGGGCAAGGCTTAAGTTGTCGGCTGGATTCCACGGTCCGACAGGCTCGCGAGGAGGTAGGCAGGATCCCGATGGATGTTGAAAAGGTAAGGCAGTTTACCGAGGAGATTTCAGCGGATGTTGAGTGTGCCCAAAAGGCGATGCACAAG